GACCAAGAACAGTAACAATCAAGACTGGATAGGGAAATGGACACTACTGCAGTAGAGTTAATGATCAACATACAAGTGGAAATCACAAGACATAATAAGAGCCAAGAGACTGTGGCCTAGAAATGTAAGGCTGGCTAGGACTGGCTGAGCTAATACAAATGCTAACAAGGTAAACACATTAAACAGGTAATACTAGTGAGATTGACAGGAAGCTCATGCTAAGGACTAGTCTAGTGGTAAGACAAGACAAAATATAAAACAAACACAAAGATATCTAACAAGGAAAGCAGCCTAGAGCAGACACAAAGGAAGGTGTTTCGCTGAGCTGAAAGATGGGCAAAGGGATTGTAAAGCAGGACAAAGGGCCTAGGCTAGGCAGAAACAATAAGCTAGGACTAGACAAGACAGTAAGCAAAGGCAAGAGCAAACTAAAACAAGACATACAATTCTACAAGGAGCCTGAAAAATGCAACAGACACATAGGAATGCATCAGGCTGTGCAACTGGAGTCACAGATGAAGTGGCTTATGAGCAGTTCAATAATAAAAGGGGAAACAAGCTGCAGGTTAAAGGGTGGAGCACAGACTGCTGATCACCACTGAAGCTTATTTAACATCTTACTTATTTGTGTTAATATACATAGTTAATATTTTAACTAAGACCTCTTTCATGATTCGAATAATATCTTGCTTTGCCTCTGTCATACAAAGTAGTCTCAAGGTTTGGTGCTACAGATAGTAGAGCAGTAAGTCATAGATTTACTGTGCTAAAAGCAGCATTAAGGTCTAAAGTAGAGAACAGTTTTAGGTTAAGTTTAAGATTAAACACCTTTAGCATGAAGGGTACAACCAGAATAAAATCATTATCAACATATTTCATTAAATAAAGAATTTTCCTATACAAAAATTCAACATCAATGCCTAAGAACGTTTAAACAAGTGACAAATTAAAGTTCAATAAAGTGCCTCTTACTGACAAGACAATTTTTTAGTGTTAATATTATCTCCTGTGTTTCTTCTTTATAGGTAAAGAGTGTCCATTTAACCTGGAGCACAAGGAATGTGGGAATCCATGTAAAGACACCTGTTCTAACCAAGAGGGGAGCCTAATCTGCAGTACACACTGTAGTGATGGCTGCTTCTGCCCACCAGGTAACGTCCACTCACAAACAGCAGTAACACACAAATAAAATGGAAAATTGTATCGTGTGAAAGATATGGTTTTGCTCAATAGACTCAGCTGCAGAGGCAGAGTGGGAGCATCCACAGGTGCCTTTCCCATCTAACATACACTTGGTCAAAGCAGTTATATTTGTATGCAAATTATATGTAAATTAGACAATCTACATATACAATTGCTGCTTCATCATTACAAATCAAACTATTATAATCCAGACTTGAAATGATTCAGAAACAAAACTGAACACAGTGTCACTGGTGAGATTCAGTCAACAAAGATAGCGTCGCTCATGCATATCTTAATGACGTCAGCAAGAGTCGCTCTCAGTCAGGCCCAAAGCTGTAAAGGTTCCTGAATGATCACCCTTTACCCAGGTATACAATGATGGAAATACTCATTTCTGATTACTGTAACTTAGACCGTTGCCATGTCTGGTAGGACAGACTGGGGATGGGCACAAACAAGTCCTTATCTCGTGCCACAAGCCTCACAGAGACACAAGGGTACAACTATATTCCTAAGTGATGGAATCAACAAAGATTTGCTTTACCTTTATTACTTAAGTTTACAGAATATAAAGTTGTTCAGTAAACACTTGCTTTTCTTTTATGTAGTTTACCTGCCACAGCAAGCAACTGTAAATACTGTCCAGTAAATTATATAAATTCTTGATTATGTATCTCACTGTATAGGAACTGTGTTTAATGATATTGAGGAAAATGGCTGCATCCCAGTTGTTCAGTGTCCCTGCATCCACAGTGGAAAAGTATACCAGCCTGGGCAGTCATACAACACGACTTGTCAAAAATGGTAAGTATATATATATATATATATATATATATATATATGTGTGTGCGGAGTACATTAGATTGTTACATTACATTTTATTGGATTACATTTATATTCAATAAATGAAACAGAAGCATTGAGAAATCACGTTATGATCAGAGATTAAACAGGAGAAGTTGACTTTAAAGGCTTAAGTCTTTATTTTTTCTCCCCCAACCCCACGCCCCCCCCCCACCCCCCTTGTACGTCAGTGTGTGTTCTGATGGGCGGTGGAGTTGTGTGAACCTGGACTGCCCTGGCACTTGCTCTATACAAGGAGGGTCTCATATCACCACATATGACGGCAAAGCTTACACCTTTCATGGAAACTGCTACTACATTCTTTCCAAGGTTACTTTAACTAAATTTGCGTAAAACTGCTTTTGATGCCTAAATGACCTCTGTGGTGTTGTCACAAATATAGCCTTAAGACTAATACAGCTTAAAGATATGTGGCTAAACTGTAAAACAAATACTAGTGATAGCAGATGTTTGAAACATACTTTTCTTTTCAGGATGAAATAAATGATGTGACAGTACTGGGGCATCTGGTGCAGTGTGGGCAGACAGAAACTGAAACATGTCTGACTGATGTGAAGTTCATCATTTCAGAAACTTCTGTAAGTATTTCAAAGTATCTACTTAGTTTTACATGTGAAACTTTAGGTATAACAGAAAAAAATTGTTTTAAAATTGCTTGGTGTATTGTGTATTGCACTACTGTCTGAATAACTCATTTGTATTCAGTGTATTTTTAAAAGAAGTTATTATTGTGCCAAAGTAATGAAATTATTGTGGTTTTTGGGTAGTTATTGCAACAATAAATACAATGTTTATTGTCTATGAGAATTTATCTATTAAAAAATATTTAACATCAGACAAAGTATAAATAACAAATACTTCTTAATTATTTCTCTTAAATAAACAGGTTACTGTCTCATCCAGTGGCTCTGTACTTGTGAATGAGATTGCAACCAAGCTTCCCATTTTAAATGGTGAGTTTTCTTAAAAATGCCTTCCATTTTTACATCACGATAAATTCATAATGCGTGTTAAAGCATAATGCAATGCATATTTCTAGATTAAGAAGAAACACTAGACGGGAAAGACCATTGATTGTGCAAAAGCTGTGGTGTTTGAAGTATTATTCTCTTATTTTTGTCTCAGATGATGTCACAGTCTTTAAGCCTTCTACATTCTACATCATCGCTCATGCTTCAGGCCTTCGGCTGGTGATCCAAATGGTTCCAGTCATGCAGGTGTACATAGTAGCCAGCTCTAAAAAGAAAGGAACATTGAGCGGTGTGTGTTTCCTGAAGCACTATGAAAATCTTTCATCTTTCTCAGAAGGTGAAACCTCTGGTGATAATGCATATCTTTGCCTTTAGGTCTGTGTGGGAACTTTAACGATGTCCAGACAGACGACTTCAAAACAAAATTAGGACTAACAGAGGGCACAGGTGCAACGTTTGCCAACACATGGAAGGCTATGTCCAACTGTCTTGACATGAGTATCAGTCAACAAAATCCATGTAGTATGAGTGTGGAAAAAGGTACACGATTAAACCTTTTCAACATTTTAATGTACATGTATCCAAAATTAATGTAAAAGCAGCTTCTGTATGAAATTTACATGAAACGATTTCATTCAAAAGTTTCAAATTCTGTGCCCTTTCAGAGAAATATGCCAGGGAATGGTGTAACATGCTTACTAAACCAAAGGGAGTCTTTTCACCCTGTCATGCTGAAGTCAACCCAAAGGACTACAAAGATGTAAGATGATATGCACAGGGGGAATATTGAGCTATAGCCTTAAACATGTTTTCAGTAGCCTCAAATCTTTTTCTGGGATCAATTATCTGGTATTCATTTTTAAGAGGAAATACTAACCATTTTTGTGGCTGCTATGTTTGCAAAACCATGCAAAACGGGCCATGGGTTCAGGCCCTAATGCTCCCACGCCCCTGCATAATAATACAATATATGCATAGATGATATTAGAGTAATTTTATTAATGAACTAAACTGTGTTGCTTTATTTTTTGCAGAGGTGTATTTATGATACATGCAACTGTGCCAAAAGTGAAGAGTGCATGTGTGCAGCTGTGTCCTCCTACGTATATGCGTGTGCTGCCAAAGGTGTTCGGCTCCACGGCTGGAGAAACGCCACCTGTGGTGAGATTCCAAACAGTTTAAAAAGAATCAAAGCCCCCGTTAAACTGAGTACAGCACATCTTGCTATTAAGAGTAACTTCAAATCTAATAGCATACTTTTCATGTGTTTATCATTAAGGCCATAAGTTTGCTGTTTTACATTTTGAATTGTGGATATACAGCTTTAAATTGGTAATAAGGCATGGAGGTAAGATGCATGTATAAACTCTTTCATGAGTAGGAGCAGGAGCTCATGAGTAGACAGAAATGGAACGAACATGGGGTATCCATGAAAACAGATACAGATAACTAACAAGAAACACTAAGTTAGAAAGAACAGAAAGGCAAATGGTATGAATTAACAAAGATTCTAGGTAAGGAATAAGATGAAGAACAAGGACCATCGAAACACAATAACTGAGAAACACAACAATAATGAGCAAAATCAAACGCAGAAAACATCTATACTCATTACTGTCAAACAAATCTGCTGAAAATATCGACATATTAGAATATTAGAGCCATGTGTGTTAACATTAAACTCTCTAGGGTCGTAGACCAGAACCAGACGTGGACACCATGATTACAAATTTCAGTTACATTTATTTATTTATTTATTTATTTATTTATTTTCTTGTAAAAATAAATGAACACTTCTAGCGTTAAGTGTCATCCTAACCAGGTTCAAAATACTTGTTGATAAAGCAAATTTATTGCAAATTTTGTTGCATTTTCATCAGTATTTTATCATCACTTAAAGCAGTAATTGAAATGTTGAAGAATTTTTTCCTTTGAATTTTTTAACTATAAACAAGTTTTTCTCATGTTTGTCTTGTGCAGGTAGGTTCTCCGCAGATTGTCCAGGCAATATGGAGTACTACTACAGCCTAAGCAGTTGTGGGACCACCTGCCGCTCCCTCAGTGGATATGACTACACCTGTCAGGTGTCTTACACACCTGTGGATGGCTGTGGCTGTGCCAAGGGTACCTACCTCAATGACAAAGGCGAGTGTGTGCCTGCCTCCAGCTGCCCCTGTTACCACAACAATCAGATTGTTGCCGCCTCTCAGGTCATCACCAAGGACGGGACTACATGGTAAAAATATGAATTTAAAGCTGCACTTTTTTAGAGGTTTTTTGGGTAAAGTTGAAAGAAGTAGCATTACTGAGTCAGGAGGTAAACATGCTAAAATATGGTGTGTGTGTGTGTGCGCGCTGCTGTGAGTCACCCTGTAAAGCCTGAAATAATCATTCAAAATCAGAGGTGTTTGGTCAGATTTTGTGACCACATTATAGATCTTTACATATTAACGTTAGGCACACAGGCTCAAAAAGAAGATCTGTCTTGATGTTTAGATCTCTATTGCAAATCAACATTATATTGATAAAGATACACTGATCAGGCATAACATTATGACCACCTCCTTCTTTCAAAGTACGCAGAGAAACAGATGGACTACAGTCTGTAATTGTAGAACTACAAAGTGCACCTATACAGTAAGTGGAGCTGATAAAATGGACAATTAGCATAGATACAAGGAGGTGGTCATAATGTTATGCCTGATCAGTGTATAATGACAATAGTGGATAATTCACTTATATCCTCAGAAGAGGCATCCTTCACCAAGTTCTCTTAAAATACTTTTTCAACACACAATCACCAGATTCATTGGCTTGGGGAAGGGGTCAGAAGAAGCGTTGGGCACTAAACCTTGGGCACTGCTACCCATTTAGAGGATATCTGAGAATGTAAAGTTGAGTGACTGGCATTAGATTGGAAGCAGAAATCAGTTTTGTTCTTTAGTGTGTGAAGCTCTTCGTTGTCGCTGAGCTGCTACCATGCTTAAATATTTTTCGTAGTTCTGATGTTTTCCCTCTTTCTATCAGCACTACCTATCTGTGAGCTTCTACACCAATAAAAATGGGCAGAATGTGTTCATTTGGCTGTTCAGACATGGAATAACAATTTTACACATCATTCTGAAATATTTGCATCATTTTAAAACAACGCAGTATACCTTACCCGTTACACCACCCAACCCTATTCTGCAGCACAGCCGACATTACAAAATGTTCTGAGCATTGTCTGCAATAACACATTTCCAACAGAGAAGTTTCCAAATCCCCAAATCTCACATAATAATAATTCTCTGTTGAGGCATCCCTGTCAAAAGTATGTTTAACATGCATCAAACTTTCAAATTCAGTAACATACTGCATACTAGAGCACACAATGCAGAATATATACATTCTAGATGCAAAATACATGTAATTCTTGGTGTAATATACCTGTAAATAAACACAGATCAGCTTAACTGTTAGAATGTGTTATTTCTAATTAGATGTTATTCTGTCTTTCCACAGCACATGCACTCATGGCAAGCTACACTGCATCGGGCAGCCGCAAGTTCCAAGTGAGCACTAATTTCCTAATGTAGAAGTTGATTCATGGACTGTGTTTCCTGGAATTGACAGGATGTTTTGAGTTTTATGTTTATTTTCTCTTTCAGCCTGCGAAGCTCCTACGTACTTCTTCAACTGCTCGAATGCTGGACCTGAAGCCAGAGGGATCGAATGCCAGAAAAGCTGCCAGAGGCTGGACTCAGACCAGTGTGTAAGTAAATCCACAGACAGTAGGGGATGAATGCATGAATATACTGCCAAGTGGATAAATAGGTGTGTGAACAGATGGATGAATAGGTAGATCATTTATGTTTTTATTTTTTGTAGCGTTGTGTCCATCCCACACAACTCTAAAACTACCTGAAATAGTCTCATGTCACGCACCATCTGTAACAGTGCTTTGTGTTTGTGACCATCCACCATTAAATATTTATATTCAGTGGCAACTCACCTGGGCCCTGTCCAGTCAAATCATGGATTTCCATGAAAAGAAAAACCAAGCAAGAGCTTTAAATTAGTTTGTACATCCATACAAAATTTCAGAGGTATTATCCAATGAGTTTTTTAGGTCTTGTCAAACACCCTAATTAAGATCTCATTCAGTAGTCATGGCAGTGATGAGTCTGTCACTCTGGGTGCTACTTCATGGCTGTTTGGTGAAGGTATTGGTTTTTATGTACACTTTACATACATGAACATTTTATATTTGTCTTGGTTTTTACAGTACTGTACATCGTGTAACAGTACAGAAATTTGAGGAAATTTCTCTTTCTTGTACATAATTAAAATTTATGGGTAATCAAATTTTGTTTATTCAGTGGTTGCTGTATATTGTATTTGGACAGAGAGTGCTCTGCGATTTGCCACACAGTTTCTATTTTCATGGTTGATGTGTATTCATATCTGCTGTGTGTGTATGTTGAGTAAAAAGTGAGTTTTCTCTGAGGTTTTGGGGGTAATGTGTATAACAGTGAGTATAACTGTAATAAATGTTTATACTGTATTCAGACATTAATTATTCTGAATTCTGGAAATGTAGCAATACTAATTTATAACAAAACAAGCAACTGGGGACAGCTTTAGAATTGTGCATGGTGGCTTGATTTAAATTGAAGCTTTTGCTTGAATTATTTCATTGAAATCCATGAATAGACTGGACAGGACTCAGATTAATTGGCCTGACATGACCAAAACAAAAAACCCAACTGTGAATCACAAACACAACAGCAAACAATTAATAGTAATTAGAATAAGAATATAAAAATAAAATATAAATAATAAATACACAGAAAAAAACGTAACATAGCAACATTAAGTCATGTGTTTTGCACTTGGAGCTTCCGTTCTGTGTCCATACAGGGACACTCCAGTCAAAATGAAAAATTTAACCATCACTTCATCTGTTGTAAACATGCCTACTTGCCTGCTTTAGCAGTGTCCCATTATTCACTACATTTATACTGACATATCTGCAATTTCAGAGGAACTAAAACGGTTGGACTGTTTTTTTTTTTACGAGCTGGCGAAGGAAACCAGCTATTGTTGCTGCTAGGAAGTTGAATATGTTATTGTAACCATACTAACCATGACTGCTTTACAATCATCATAACAGTGGAGAGAATGAATTTCTCAAGTGAAGAAATAATTTGTCAGATGAGGACAACAAGCTAAAGCTAATAAAGCTAATAAAGTTAGCAAGGTAGCTTACCTCAATTTGGCTCCTTTTTCTGGTTGAAAGGGTTAAAATGTGTCTCTGACATCTATTTTCTGTTAAATAAAGACAGAATTGCTGTTATCTTTACAATCTGCTTTCTTGAACATGCCAGTAACACAGTAACTGAAACTAGTGGTCCTCTGCTTTAAATTTGAAGTGCTGCACATCCCCAATAGACTAACAACTGAGGTAGGAGCTACTACTGACTGCTAGCAGTCAGGATCAACTGAGCACCACAGGGATTCACAGTGATCATCTGATTTACAACTCTGTTTCTAATAAAGTTAGGACACTGTGCAAAATGTAAATAAAAACAGAATGCAATTATGTACAAATTGTTTAAACCATATAATTTATTGATATAATTAAAAATAGGACAAACATAACGTAGTGACGCTCTGAAGAAGAGCTTTTTTCTTTGTTTTTTGAGAATGAGTGGAAAATGGAACATACATGCATGGATCTCTTTGGGAGGTTACAAAGCCAAACCAAAGGCTTCATGGCACTGGTGACCCTCCCTCCCAGGACACAAAAAAGCTACCAACCCACACACCCAGATAAGAAATAAGACCACATACTCAAACTAAGGAACAACAACATAAAAACACAATTAGGCCTTTCTTTATGGGCTATACACCCAATTTCCCTGAACTTTATTTGCATAGCCCCAAAATGCCAAATGCACAGCCAGTGGCAGAATGCCACGAAGCTCCCCCCTTAGAGGTCAGCTTTTCTGATGACCCATATTGCTTGAACAAAGTCCTTTAGGTGAGCTGGAAGGCATGTATACTGTCCTGGTCAGCACAAGCACTGAGGGTGCCACGCCCCCTGGCCCCCCTGGCTTCCATCTCCTCCTCAGGGCTAGGCCCCTGATTCTATGGCACATGGCCCAGCATGGTCTTACGTTGACTGGGCTGGTACAGGGTAAGTCTGTCCTTTTGAATAACAACAGTCCACCAGTGAAATAATCCAGGGCCACAAGCACAAAGTGGTTCCTGGGCTTAGTGATGGGAAAGGGGCCCAGGACGTCAATGGCTACTCTCTCCGTCAGGGCACTAGAGCAGAGGGGTTTCAACGGAACGTGTGACAGCTGTGGTGGCCCCTTTTCACAGCAGTGCACGTAAAGCTTCACATCCAAGCGGCAGCCTGGGCAGTAGAATCTCTGCCGCAGTCATTTCGAAGTCTTGCCCACCCCAAAGTGCTCCACAAAAGCCATTCTATGCACCACACCCAGCACTTTTTTGCGCAGGCAGCATAGCACCAGCAACTGCCAGATACACTTACCCTTGATTGCCCTTCCTGGCGGCAGTGATGACACTGAGGGTTACTCTTGCATGGGGCTGTCTGACCCTCATTGGGCAGCCCCACTTTTAATTTTCCGCCAGCTAAGGCTCACTGCTATGCTGAGCGTGATGCACTAATGCTTCTGGTGAGTAGGATGAGTTAGCATAGCATTGCATATAGATATAAATGTTTTTTTAAGCAAACTAAAAACATTTAGGATCTTTTATACAAAGTGTCCCATTATTTAATGTGTCTGTATGTATTTATTTCAGAGCTGTGAAAATTAGTTATATTTTGAGGCACTTTGCTGCTGTAAGTGTAGAGACAATATAACTTACAAAAATGTTATGATTTAAAATCGCTTCCCTACAATGGGACTTCTTAGTATTATTTAATAGTTATATATAAGTGCTGAACGAGTGATTGAACTGGACATTTGAGTGAAACATTTGTGTCCAGGCTGGTATTTTTTTCATTATTATTGAGCTACATTTGAGCTGGACTGCCCTACTACCCTACACTGAGCCATGTCATCATCTCTGCATCATCAATTCATAGTAACAATGAACCTTCAGCTTCCTGATACCCACCATTTTTACCATCATGAACAGAGACGTTATTGTTGTGGAAGTGCGGGAGGGACAGTGCATAGTGTGGGGCTGTCAGGACTGTGATTGGGAATGCCTGTTGTAATGCATGCTCAGTATTTTACAGAGGAACCATAAATAAATAAAAACATTGTGTGACACTGATAAGGCTAAGAGATACAATGCTGTGCTATAAAATCCAAGACAAACAACATATTAAATGCTAGTTTTAGGTCGGAATGCACTTACAGCAATTACAGGATTTCTGGATTATGAATTTGTTTATATTTTATAATTGTGCACTGACATTACATTTCTTGTCTTTCTTTCTTTTTTTCTTCTTCTCTGCAATAAGTAATTAGATCACAGTCAGATAGAGTTAAAGGATAGCAAAATACCCCCAGCACAACTGACATGTTTTTAACTATAGCATTAATTGAGTTAAAGTTCCAGAATGAATCCATTTCCTGCTAGAAATGTGTTTCAGAGGTTAAAGATTGTTCTCAGTTTTGCTTTTCTTTAGTTATTGTTTTCAAACAGAGGGAAGAAGAGAACTGTCAGAGTCTATAGTGAGTGTAAATTGTAAGTTATAAACCTTCTGAATCTTTCTTTGTGTTTTGTGGGTCACAGGTGAGCACACAGTGTACATCAGGGTGTGTGTGTCCAAATGGTCTACTGGCTGATGGACAAGGAGGATGTGTAAAAGAAGAGAACTGTACATGTGTTCACAATGGAGTCTTCTACCAACCTGGACAGACTGTTAAAGAAGTCTGCAACACTTGGTGAGCAAAGCTAATGTGGTGCCCTTGATGCGTTATTTTACTGCTGACCTTACAAATCTTACGAGAATCATATTATAAATAATGTCAGTCATGTTACATGTTGTGTTACAACCTCTCTGTAACATGCTGTTTGTGTTATGTTATTTCAGCTCTTGTAAGGGTGGAACATGGAGCTGCACACGTAAGGAGTGTCCTGGCACTTGTACCATCTATGGCGATGGTCACTACATAACCTTTGATGGTAGAAGATACTCTTTCAGTGGAGACTGTGAATACACTCTGGCCCAGGTGTGTCCTCCATGATTTTGCTCCTGCAACTCTCCATTTTCATGATATTTCAAGTTCTGTGTCACTCAGTTTGTTAAAAATAGATTTGATTAATCTCTTCATCATAATCTGCAGTTATCCTGCAACAAAGCAGGACAGCTGTGGAGAGTAAACTGTCAAACTCAGTTTTGAATCTTTGCTTGATAATTTGAAAATGATGCAGTGTACTGTACTTTGACTCATTCATTTCATACAGTATGCCGTACAAAATAACAAATCAGACATTATACCTTGCAGGATTACTGCAGCAACACCCTCAATGGTTCATTCCGTGTCATCACAGAAAATATCCCCTGTGGCACAACCGGGACCACCTGTTCCAAATCTATTAAAATCTTTCTAGGGGTGAGGTTATCACACAGCTTCCTTTTAGCATCATTGCATTTTAGTGTTATTATTAACATTATTAATTGAAAGCCTTCTGAACTGTAAATCAGTAACCTTGAAATATTGTTAAACTTTTTTTTTTATCTTTATAGAACAAAGAGTTGCTGCTGTCGGAAGAGAATCTTAAAGATGTTATTCATGATAACAGCACAGAGATTCCATATAAATTCTACACTGTGGGGATTTACTTTGTAATTGAGACCAGTCATGGTCTGGTTCTGTTCTGGGACAAGAAGACAAGCCTGATGATCAAACTCAAGCCTTCATTTAAGGTAAGTAAGAAAAACATCACCAATGTATGCCTATTCTCATTCATTCATTTATGGATTTAAACATGTTTTGTTCATCAGTTTATCTTTTTCATTATTTCTTCATAAGTACTCTGCTTCATTCTGTCATTCATACTCATTTGTTTTATCCATCCCACTCTTTTCCCCATAACAGAGAAAATTATGCGGACTGTGTGGTAACTATGATGGTAACGGTAAAAATGACTTTGTGACTCGTGGTGGGGAGGAAGTGGTGGAGCCACTTGAATTTGGAAACAGCTGGAGAGTTTCTCCTTCATGCCCCAAAGCCAGCAGTGTCAGCAGCCCCTGCGATATGAGACCACACCGTCAAACCTGGGCCGTCAAGCACTGCAGTATTATCAAGAGTGATGTCTTCAGTCCCTGTCACTCCATAGTGAGTACTTTTAATATTAATTATTAATATTATTATTATTCTTAATAATAATAATAATAATAATAATAATAATAATAATTAAATATATTAAACCTTTTAATGTTGATGCTGAGAGAGAGAGAGAGAGGAGAGAGAGAGATAAATAGGTGATAAGTTGAATGATAAGTTGAATAATACCAAGGAATCAGGGAGACACAATACATTTGAAAATACAACAGGAAATAGAAAAAAACATTAAGAAAAGCCAAAAGCAACGGAAAGCTAAAAATCTTTAGCGTTAGACATCAACTTACAATGATTTTTAAGCAAATACAGTAACCCAGATACAATTTTGCTTACTTTAGAACAAAGAGTGCACTTTTATATATGCAGATATACAGAATGTTTAAAAAATATATATGATCGGGGGAGGGGTATCATTTCGTTTTCAGAAAAAAAAAAATAGTTTTCTTTCAAAGTGAAAATGTAAAGTTAGACCTTTAGGGGAAGAAGACCACCCAGACATGGGTTATAAGGCCCCCTTTTACAGTATTGCCTCAGAAATATTATTTACTTATATTTTCATCATAAAGGTACAAATTTGTTTCACTGACTATGTAGCATTCATACAGCTTTGGTGATCATTAGCTAGAATAAGGCAACATTTTTAGGCGTCCTACTGGTGATGAGTTTGTATTTGAGTTTTGCAGCTCAGCAGAGTTATATCCACTTCTGATTTGTTATGTCTAATAACTATTTGCTCAAATGAAACATTGAATGCTAAAAACACACAATGTTGAATGAAAGTGCTCTGTTTAAATTGTTATTATTATTGTTGTCAGTAATCGTAGTTGTAATAATAATAATTAATAATAATAATAATGATTAATTATGTAATGATGCACACAATAAATATTTAATTATCAGAACGGACATTTCAGTGTTTAAATTTTCCTTAATTTGTCTTTTGACATATAGCATTAAGGCAATTTTAACTTCATTTAAAAATATATTTGTGTTACACTTTTATTAATAAAAGGTCTTGAAAGGTGCAAAGACTAAAAATGACTTGACAAATTATTTTGTAAAACTTAGATGTAAAACTGATGCTTGATTCACGATGGTGCTTACTCATGTTGGGGGGCTTCTTGCCTTTATAGTGGAGCAAGAGGCCGCTTTTAAAGATTTTCTAATTTATGCTACAAAAACAAAATTAACTGCTGCTCCAGTAAGTCCTGTTTATTTTTATGTCACTGTTGTCAGAAGAAAACCTTGTATCTCCATTTTTGATTGTATCTCCGATTTTTCAGTTTTTGACATAATTTAAAAATACCCGATACCCTTTACATTGTATGTAAATTTCATGATGGATTGACTAAAAGAAACTGCCCGAAACGACTTGGAAAAATGTCTGGTTTCATTGACTTACATTAAAAGTAAAGTAGGTTTTTTCCTTCTCCTGTAAAGTTACCATTTTGGAGATACAAGGTTACTTGTATTACTGTGTGAAGGTTTATATAAATTGACACTGTTCTTAATGGACATTGTTTCCCCTCATTATCCACTACTCTGTATGGCATGGACAAGAGTATCCTGGCATTTCACAAATGCCATATAGAGCAGATCATGTTCCTAAACATTTCGTAAAATGGAGAAGACACATGTGAAAATGTCACATTTTACAAATAAAAATGTATACAATTTTATAGATGCTGATTATCTTGTTTTGTGAGTTATTCTACTTTTAATTTCTCCTCTCAGGTGGATCCAGCTCAATATTACGATATATGTGTGCAAGACACATGTGCATGTGACAGCGGTGGAGACTGTGAGTGTTTCTGCACTGCCGTAGCCGCATATGCTGCAGCATGCAACGAGAAGGGAGCCTGCATATCGTGGAGGACCCCAACCATCTGCCGTGAGTCTCAATAAAGAATTCAGTAATAGCCTCTCTTTTAAAGAGTACATTTTACTTGTAATTCACAGTTATTAAAATAAAAATATCATCCCTATTATTACAGCGCTTGTAGAGCAACCACTGTATTGTTATTCTTATTTTTATTTTTATTTTTCTAATGCAATTAATACATATCTTAGACATATCTTAAAGTTATTCATAGCCTTTATACTGTAGTTGATATATTTTAATTGATCATTTTCCCATAGACTAGTACGGTGGAATCTTGGGACAGTTTAAATTACAGGTGCCACCACAGATGTCATAATGCCTGAGGCTGATTGGCTGGGCTTAATTAAAGCGCTTCTGCTGTTCTCCCTTTCAGCCTTTTTATGTTTTTTTTTAACCTCCTCAGCTCTTTGTTCATCCTCTTTTTTATTCCTCCATCCTTTAGAGCATCTGATTTCAGTTTTTTTCAGTGTTTATTAACTTTAACTAATTAACTAATTTTCTAAACCTCATGCTAGACTCGTTGCTTTTTTTTCATTTACTTTCTTTCATTCATTCTTTATTTCTTTTCTTGATTTCTTTTTTTTTTTACTTCATCCCTTCATTAATTTCTTTCTGTTTGTTCCTTGATTCATTTCTTTTTCTTCATTTCTTTCTTTTTTCTTCCCTCCTTCCTTGCTTTCTTTCTCCCTTTCTTTCTTTCTAATTTTATTACATTTGGATCCATGACTCATTCCTTACAAATATTATTTCACGATGTTTTCTTGCCTTGCAAGCCCTGTATTTCCTTCAGGAAATGCAAAGCTAGATCTTTTTCTTTTTCTTCTACTAACGCAATTCTTTGCTACAATCAAATTGCTTATCATACACTGTTTTATAGACATGCTTTCTACAACTCCATTTCCAAAAAAGTTGGGATGCTGTGCAGAATGTAAATAAAAACAGAATGCAATGATGTGCAAATCATGTAAACACTATATTTAAATGAAAAGGCTACATAGACAACATATCAAATGTTGAAACTGAGAAATTTTATTGTTTTTTGGAAAATATATGCCCATTTTGAATTTGATGCCAACAACACATTCCAAAAAAGTTGGGACAGGGGCCTGTTTACCACTGTGTTTCATCACCTCCTCTTTCAAAAATACTCTGTAAGTGTTTGGGAACTGAGGAGACCAATTACTGTAGTTTCGAAAGTGAAATATTTTCCCATTCTTGCATAACATAGGATTTCAGCTGCTCAACAGTTAGGGGTCTTCTTTGTCGTATTTTTCAGTTTGTAATGTGCCAAATGTTATCAGTGGGTAACAGGTCTGGACTGCAGGCAGGCCAGTTTAGCATCAGGACACTTTTAATACGGAGCAATGCTGTTGTAATGCATGTAGAATGTGGTTTGGCATTGTCTTGCTAAAATAAGCAAGGTCTTCCCTGAAAAAGACGTCGTCTGGATGGCATTGTTTCTGGATCCTGTTTATGTACAGTTTCTTCTTTGCGTTTTAGAGTCTTTACTTGCATTTATGGATGCAGCGATGAACTGTGTTCACAGACAGTGGTTTTCAGAAGTGTTCCTGAGCCCATGCAGTGATTTCCACTACAGAATCATGTCTGTTTTTAATGCAGTGCCACCTGAGGGCCCAAAGATCACGGCCAGCCAGTATTGGTTTTCGGCCTTGTCCCTTACATACAGAGATTTCTCCAGATTCTCTGAATCTCTTAATGATATTATGTACGGTAGATGATGAGAAGCAAAAGTTCTTTGCTATTTTATGCTGAGAAACATTATTCTTGAATTGTTGCCTGAGCAGTCTTTCACAGAGTGGTGAACCCCTCCTCATCTTTACTTCTGAAAGATTAAGCCTCTCTGGGACGCTCTTTTTACACACAGTCATGTTACTGACCTGTTGCCAATCGACCACCAGGTGTTTGTGTTTTTTACCAGCCTTTTGTTGCCCTCGTCCCAACTTTTTTGGAACGTGTAGTTGGCATCAAATTCAAAAAGGGCATATTTTTTCAAAAAAACAATAAAATTTCTCAGTTTAAACATTTGATTTGTTGTCTTTGTACTATTTTCAATTTCATACAGGGTTTAAATGATTTGCCCATCATTGCATTTTGTTTTTATTTACATTTTGCACAGCATCCCAACTTTTTTGGAAATGGGGTTGTATTATTTTTAGATATTTTAAAACATTTCCTTGTTTAAAAGGAACCCCATCTAGTAAGCCCTGTAGACCTAATTGTAGTGTATCCTGAATATCCTAAACTATTAAAATATGTTCTTAAAATGACACCAATATTATATTTACTATAAGAAGCCACACCTTTATTAGACATGACTGATATGGTTGGCCTGTAAGTAAACACAGTTATCAAAATAGGGAAAAAATGAAAGACAATACAGTTTACAGTCACTGACCTACAGTGAAGCTACATGCTGAAATCAGTGTGGAGGTTCAGTATGAGGTTTCAGTTTTTGAGGGAACACCTGAGGATTGATGTCATGTGTGCTTCATCTAGACTTAGACAAGCCGAGAACTCTGCATGCATTTTTGCTCTTTAAAACTGAATGTGGTCACACTTTCATAAAGGAAATGATTTGTTTTGAAGTAATGAAAATGAAGAGTTAATCCACTCTGTGCTCTCAGGTACCTTTACTACAATAGAGTTTGTTTTGTGTAATAATACATTTAGGGCTTGTTTACACCTTGCATCACTATGTGTGTTTGGTGATAAGATCACATTCGGATTTCACTTGACCGCATGAAAAGCGAAGTGTAAACAACCTCAGGACTGATTATGAGTGGTATATGATCAGGTCACTCAAACCATGTTCAGAGGTGGTCAGAGAAAACTGACCACATTTAACACCAGTGTAAATGGAATGTGTTTTCAATATCCATCTATACAAAATAAAAGTCTTGCATTATATTTTTTTTCCAGAAATACAATTGTGGTGGTGATTTGCCCCCAAGGTGGTTGTCATGGTACCACTGCAGTGTAGTGGTGGTCTATGCAGCCATAAAGATGACCACAAACTATGGCGATATAAACACACTGGTAGACACTTTAGCAGTACTGTAACTGATGAGGAAACCTACTGGCTCAAAGTGGCAGCAGTTTGAGCCAGTAGGCATCACTCTCCTCACCTTCACTGTTTAGTTCTGAACCTTTTCGTAGTCTTTTGGAAGGGATAAGTGGTCCATGTTTGAACAGGTAAACAAAAGTAATCTATGAGCTATCACGCTTCTTCCTCTCAGTTAATGGAGAAACACTGATGTACAAGAGTCAGTTTCAGTAAAAATGATAGTGGAGCTCTTTAAGGCATGTTCATCTGTTCAGCTGCTGCACAGAGACCATACATTTTGCCCCACTCTCGGCTTTATCATGCTTATTTATTTGATTAAATCTATTTGATGATACACAATGTTGCCATCATCAGTATTTTCTTCTTGATTTATGTTCCGTTCTGGCTCAATCTGCAAAGGCTGAAGGGCAGATTTATTCAGCTAAATAACACTTGCACAATGGTCAACAGTGAAGGGTTAATTCCAGTGCAACCATTTGACGTTATTATCCAAAACGTAACTGTTTCTTCAGGAAATGCAAATCTAGTTTTATATGGCATAAAAATGGAATGAAGTGTGTAATGAGATGTGCTAAATCTGTACTAAAATCATGTTATACGACGCTGGTGCAGGGTCTTGTTGTCTTGCCTTGGCAAGCAACTAACTGGTGTGAATCCTTCTTGCAGCTTTGTTTTGTGACTACTATAACTCACCTGATGGCTGTGAATGGCACTATAAACCCTGTGGGCAGTGTGTGAAAACCTGCAGTAATCCTTCAGGAGACTGCTTCAATCAAACTCTAGTAGAAGGTAAGGCTTTGCTAGCTGTTCCTTTTTAAATGTCCTGCACACTTTTTCAAATTTCTTTCTCATTACTTGATTTCAGTCTCAGCACCAGCAATAGGACAGACAACAGTCGTTTTAGTAGGTCTGAACATATCAGCATGTGAATAACTATACTATATAAAACTGGCCTCTACAACACAACATTTCAATGTATTTAATTATATTTGTAATAAAAAAAGCTATACGTTTTAGCTCATAGTCCATATTTAGCTCAAAGCCAGAGACTTCCCAGTGGCAGTCATGGAGGGCCTGATAGTTTCCCTGTACAAAAACTCTGGTTTCAACTCATCTGTTAGTTGTCTGGTGTAGTTGGTATATTAAAACAGTAAAATCATCAAACTGTGCTGGGTCGCTATCCAGGACAAGAATAACCCTGCCTTTCTTAAGGGTCATATGCAGGGCACAGAGACAAAAAAAAAAAAAAGTTAGCTCAATCTGAGCTGAACCCCACTTGCCACCTCAGTTCTGCAGCCCCTAAAGTATGATGCAAAATTGGGTTTAGCAAAATGTGTCTGTACTCCCAAAACTTTTAAAATGGACAAAAAACTAAATCTGTCATTAAGAAACAAAAATGAAGAAGCGCTGCAGGGGTCACAACGATGAAGCAAAAGAACAGGTGTTCCTAGAGCATGGGTGCAACAAAGTGGACATGCCATTTTTTGTGTCCTGATGAAGGCCTGAGTAGGCCGCAATGCATCAGCACATTTTTATATATGTTGCCATGTGTTAATAAAGGCTTTTTAGATTTTTCTTAAGACAGTGTATCTGGGAATTATATTGCTCTGGGATCTGTTTTGTATATTTCTTGTGAATGCATTTGGATTGCATTGTTTCTTATTACTCCTAGCGCAAAATTCTTACTTTCTGTAAGAATCGAGGCTCACCTCTGCATGCACAAGCCACTTTTGATGTGTAGAGTGTTTAATACTGTTGAACAAACTGAATTGAATTCCATATCAATATCGTAACACTACTACATACACAGAAGTTCAGTAGTAGTTCTGTATCAAACACACATAACAGGTGTGTCACTGCCTATCTTGCTAACCTGCCAACTAGCAATGATAACGACAGCTACACTGGACTTGCATTCTGTAACGATGCAGGCAATGCAGCTGGTGGTAGTAGTAGTAGTAGTAATAATCAAATCATTCAAACCTATGAACATCAACAAACAAATAATATTCAGTTAAGAAAGGATCAACCAACAGATTTTGTTTAAATATATACAAACATATGGTTTTCAATCCCAGTGGACCATGGTGATACTGCAGTTTTTTTAAACACAAAAAGTTGTCACAATACAAACATTTGATCAAAATCATTTTAAATATATAACACATATTGTTTGTTATTTGCAAAAATAGTGTTATATTTATATTGAGCCCATTATTGTTCTGTCAAAATATAAGCTATTAATGTTTTAGCTATTGATGTATTTGCAGTGAAAGCAAAACCAGAACAAAGAGAAAATACAGCAGTGAATACTTAGCGCTGGGCTTCATGTGCACAAGAGCTGAAAATGAGTACCTACAGCTCTGTGCTGTTTTCTCAGGGGCCTTTTCAAATGAAACCCAACAATTTACAGCGTCACTTGGAGACTAAACATAGTAAATATGTATCTAAACCTGTCAAACTGAGCCAGAACTCCATTTTCAGCTTTTTTCCCTTCAGCCTGACGTCCAGCACTCTGATACTGCCGAGTCAGGCTTCACATTAGGTGAGCCAGAAAAAGACAATCTGATCACTTAAATTCGCAGCAGCAGGTAAAGCAAATCCTTTTTTTGTTTTTCCAGTTTCGAAGCAATGCAAGATGAGATGGCAAAAAAGCATCGTAAGTGATTTCATGTCACTTATACCACTTTCAATCTCCCTCCCGCCCATGCCCCAGTAATACTATATATTGCATACCGTGGTAATATTGGGAGATGGTTTGAAGGTAAAATAGGGGATACGACCCAACACTATTATATGAAGTGAAAGAACCTAGCTTCTCAAAAAGCAGCCTTCTCTGAATTTTAGTACCAAGGATCAGTATTTCAGTTCAGGTCAGTTTTCTCTTGATTTAGAACAGTCTTGATTTTCTTAGAAGAAATGGAAATGTATAATTGCGTGTTATCATTTATCTATGAAAATTGATATCATATTTCCTGATGACATCACCTAGAGGTAACGTGCAAAGAAAAGAAGCAAAGCCCTAAAACTGAACCTTGTGGCTCTCAACAACAAATGTTAACATTTTATGGTGAAGGATTTTCCAGTGAAACCAAAAACTGGCTATTCATCAACTATGATTGTAAAACCGTGCCTGAGAGGCCAACCCAATATTCAAAACAGTTCATTTAAACCTCATGATCACCAGTATCGAAAGCTGGACTAAGATTCAGTAAGACCAATATAGAAGGAGTTTTTCTGGCCCAATCATACGACTTTATGTATTAACGTCACACATACGGACTTGGTGACTCAGCATCTCTAGCTTTCGCCATAACTTTTGCACTGCAGTACAGAACAAACAATCAGCATTGATTTTGTAAATAGTTACACCTAACTATTTACTACACCTAACAGGCTGCAAAATAAACTTGCGATGCTGTTTTTCAGTACCTGTCTCATCCTGCATGCTCAGAGATAAGCACTCTTACTTTCAATTTAGTGCTTTATTGGATTCATGTTATTTATTTAGGCAACTTATTTAAAATGTAAAAAAAAAATATTTAAATGTCAATTTGCCCATTTAAGAGCAAATACTGTTGTATATATTAAAAGATTGGATGATAGAAAATACTGGAAATGTGCTAGTGTGTTTCATTTGTTCATTTACCCCATATGTGAGCTTCAGATGAATAAAAGACTCAAAAAGGAATCAGAATCAAAATCAGCCCTAAAAATTCATGATTGGTGCATGCCTAGTGTTATTCCACCCCTAGGAACCACATCCTGCTACCTTTTAAGCCTGAGATGCAGTGCACCCCACAATTGAAAAGCCTTTGTCTGAATGCTACAAAACATTTTTAGTACTGCCTCTCAGTTGGTAAATAACACAGTTTCTGTTGCATGGACTCAATGTGGGGCTGTGCTCCCTTCTCTTGCAGCCCCAACCACAGATGACTGTGACATTGCCAGAATTTGAACTTATGATCTCCTCATGAAGCCACAAAAATACATACATTTCTGTGTCTATAAAAAAAAATGAAAAGGTAAATTTTCTCAGAGCAGTGTGACTTGTGCTCAAATAGCTCCTAATGCACAGTGAAATGCCATTGTCTGTGCTTAGAAAATATGCTGTTCTTTCTCAATGTACTCAGAGTGTTATTGATTTAAATAGTCAGCTAAAGTCTCATCATCAAGTTCTCCAAGGGACAGGAATTTTGTTGTAATTGATCGGTTTTAATAATGAGAAGGGTAAAACTACAAGAACAACATACAAACCTAACTTTCAAAAAGGTTAGGACAGTATATGAAAAGCAAATAGAAACAGGAAAGCAATGACATTATTGTTTTTTGTAAGTATACACTCATTCTAATATTGATGTCTGCAACATGTTCCAAAAAAGTTGTGAGGGGGAAGTTTAAGACTAGAAATATTGTCAAATATTCAAAAAACATCCAAAACAGTTGGGATTATGCTTGTGTATAAAAGAAGCATCCAGGAGGGCAGAGTCCTTTACAAGCGAGGATGGATTGAGGCTCAGCACTTTACCAAAAAATGCATCAGCAAAAAAACTTAAACAATTTAAACACAATGGGCCAGATTCATAAACAGCACTGCCAGATGTACTGTGATGAGTAAATAGCATGACAGTAATACGCTTGCTCATTCATAAACAAGGCTTACCGGATAGTTTTTGGCCACGTGACAAACCTTCTGACTGCTGTTGTAGAAGAACAGAGGAGAAAATCAGAAGATCAGCAGATTTAACTGGAACTGTACTTAAAACGACCTCTTCTTCCTGCGTCAAGTTGGATTGAAAAATATTTTGCAGGCTCTTAGGACCTATGCCCAATTAGGTTGCTTGTGCTTGAAGTATCATTCAAAGACAATATTTTTCCCCATAGGAAATGAATGGTGGAATGTTCAGGACATTCAAATCTGCTTTTCACGGTCCGCAGTTTTTGACAAACAACCACCAAATTTTGCAAAAACATCACTCATATACGGGAATAGTGCGCTTGTGCTTTTTGGACTGATCCGATGTATAGTTTTCATACAATACGGTGGAACTGCCTTTAAATTAGCACTGAATTTAAGGTGGCACTGACGTGAAGGTGAAATTGCATTTAAGTTAGCAGTGAATTTAAGGTGGCACTGCATTAAAGGTGGAATTGCATTTAAGTGGCACTGAATTAAACATATCAATAAATTTAAGGTGGCAGTGTATTTAGGCTGGCACTGCATTTAAGGTGGCACTGTATTTAAGGTTGAACTGCATTTAAGGTGGCAGTGAAATTAAGGTGGCACTTCATTTAAGGTGGCACTGTATTTAAGGGGACAGCACATTTAAAGTGCAGGGAGTTCAAGGTGGCAGTAGATTTAAGGTAGCACTGAATTTAAGGTGGAAGTACATATGAGGTGGCAGTAAATTTAAGGTGGCACTGCATTTCAGGTGGTTCCTATGCTATTTAATACACAGGAATCTTAAATCCACTGATTCCTTAAATTCACGGCTACCTTAAATTTATTGATACCCTAAATCCGTTGCCACCATAAATTTATTGATGCCTTAAATTCACTGCTACCTTAAATTGACTGACACCCTAAATTCATTGCCATTTTTTATTTACTGATACCTTAAATACACGTCCACATTAAAATTCACTGCCACCTTAAATATCCTACTACCTTAAATTTACTACCACCTTAAACTTATTGATACCTTTAATTCACTGCCATCATAAATCTACTGATACTTTAAATTCACTGCCACCTTATATTCAGTGCTACCTTAAATCTACTGCATCCCTAAATTTACTTCCACTTTAAATTTACTGATATCTTAAATTTACTGCCACTTCAATTTCAGTTCTGCCTTAAATCTACTGCCACCTTAAATTTACTAATACCATAAATTCACTGCCACTTTAAATTCAATTCTAGCTTAAATGCACTGCCACCTTAAATTTCTTAACACCTTAAATTACTGGCACTATTAGGTTGCTTGTGCTTGAAGTATCATTCAAAGATATTTTTTCCCATAGGAAATGGCTGGTGGAATGTTTGGGACGTTCAAGTCTACTTTTCACCTTAAATTTACTGCCACCTCAAACTTACTGATACCTTAAATTCACTGCCACCTTAAATTTAGTGCCATCATGAATTTACTGATACTTTAAATTCACTGCCACTTTAAATTCAGTGCTACCTTAAATCTACTGCCACCTTAAATTCACTTCCACTTTAAATTTAGTGCTACCTTAAATCTACTGCCACCTTAAATTAATTTCCACTTTAAATTTACTGCCTTCATAAAGTCAGTGCAACCTTAAATCTACTGCCACCTTTAATCCAGTGCTACATTAAATGCAGTGCTATCTTAAATTTACTGCCACTTTAAATTCAGTGCTACCTGAATTTTATTGCTACCTTCAATTTACCAATATCTTAACTTCACTGCCACCCTAAACTCAGCACCACCTTAAATTCAGTGCTACCTTAAATCTACTGTCACCTTACATTTATTCTTATCTTAAGAATATCTTAAATTCACTGTCACTTCAAGTTCAGTGCTACTTTAAATGCAGTTCCACCTTAAGTTCAGTGCCACCTTAAATCTATTGCTGCCTTAAATTTATTGCCACCTTAAATTTGTTCACCTTAAATTCAATGCAACCTTAAATTTTCCAATATCTTAAATCCATTGCCACCTTAAATTCAGTGGTACCTTAAATATACTGCCACCTTAAATTTACAGCTACCTTAAATTTGGTGTCTTAAATTCACTGCCACCTTAAATTTACTGATCGAAAACCTTACGTCAGATTGCTTAGAAATACACAAGAACACTATTTGGGTATGGGCCCTACAATCCAGCAAAGTTTTGTGGTTCTAGCTCGAAAACTGCAGGACGAGAAACATTTTATTTTTTGAACATAGAATAATAATAATAAAAAGAAGAAGATTACGAAGAACTGTAAGTTGACTTTGTCAAGAGCCAGCTAATTATGATAAATTGGTGGAAGATTGTTAATGGTTATTAAAGTGTTGCTTAGATGTTGCTAGGCAGTTGATACAGTGTCCAACGGTTGATACGGTGTGGTGTTTGTGTTGTGTTGAGTGTGTAGTGTGTGTGTTCTGTATGGTCTCAACACACCTGTGTTGGGTGTGTTGAGTGTGTATTGTTACTGTTCTCACTGTTTTATTTTTTAGAACTGTTTTATTACTGTTTTATTTGTGTCATTACCATTTTAGTTTTTTATTACTGCCATTATTACGGTCATTACTACTGTTATTGCTCGGCATTAGGCTGTAAGCGTGTAAGTCTGTGTGTACTGTGTATAAGTGTCTGTGTGAGAGATGTGCATTGTGATATCACTTGTGGCAGTTACAGCTAATGTTCTAAACAATACACCTTTCATTTCCTATGGGAAAAATTTCATCTTTGAACGATAGTTTTACGGAAAACAGATCGGCCCAAAAAGCACAAGCACACTATTCCCGTATATGAGGAACATTTGTGCAAGATGTGGTGGTTGTACATCAAAAATTGTGGACCAAGAAAAGTTTACAAAATATGAGCATAAATTAAGAAGTAGAAGAAGAAGAAGATTACAAAGAATGAAAAATTTCAAGCCAACTTAATAAATTTCATGAGAATACAACATCAAATTTGGTGTTTTTGTACCGTTTTCAATTTAATACAGGCCAAACAGAATTTACTAGTCACTGTTTTTTTCTGTAGCATTTGATATACAGTGCCAAACTTTTTTGGAATTGAGCTTGTATTTGTACTATGGTGACAACTTGGTAGGTGGAAAAGTAAACAGATCTTGAATTTTTGTTTGGATATCAGACAATGTATCTATCAGAAACCCAAAAATGAAAGCAGTGTAAAAAAAATACAGACATGTGACTTTACCACAGTTGAGTCAAAATTTGTAACATAATTCTTTTGGTCTCTGAGAGGTGGAACTAATGTAAGTGAATACAAAATGCATATAAGTTTAAACAAAAGCAAGGTGGTCACACAAGAATTCACTCAAAACTGTATACACACTATAATTCATATACAGAGGAGCAGCTGATCTACAGTAATATACACCATGAAGAAAACTTGTTAGTTTCTTGAAAATGTCAAATGTCAAACTTCTGTAGCAGCATTTCACTATTGATTTTATCCCAGTTTGGCTGCTTCCTTTAAGGTGGAGTGTTGCAAGTGTAAATGGAGGATGTATTATGATCATCTCTTAATCATCTTGATCATCATTTTTTTTTTCCTTAGGATGCTTTCCCAAGTGCCCCTCAGAAAGGCCATACCTGGATGAGAAAACCATGAAATGTGTTTCAAAACCTTACTGTGGTTGCTATATGAATGATCAGCACTACAATATTGGAGAAGAAATATCTACAGAAGTCTGCAAAAAATGGTATTGCACAAACTCAAACAATTTTCTGTTCACACGTAAAGTGTTTGTGATGTGCAGTGTCACTTTTTATATTTTTTAACAATAAATAATCATTCTTTGTAAAGCACCTGCTCCTTACAGGGTACTTCATGTTACAGTGAAACAGGTCAGTAAACTATACAAAGAACAGTTTTTATGACTTTGCAATTACCAGACACATTGCAAGTTCTGCTTTGAACTGACTCAGTTGTGCTTGGTCACTGTCAACATTCTGATGATTTAGGAAAAGTACTATACAACACAACAGATGGGAATGGAACATGTATCTCTGCTGAATGTGGACTCAATGGAAAAATTAACAGGAAGATGTTTACATGCCCCACACCTACCCCCATCCCTATTATCAGTACTACAGTTTCAACCACAATATTTGATTTCTCAACACCTGGTAAGTAGTGCACTTCAGAAAAATAGCTAAATACATGACTGTGGCATGCGCCCGTTCCCCACCCACTCGCGGCTCTCTCCCCGCCGTCCTCGCCGGGGTTCGTCGCCGCTCGATGTTCAGGCCCCGCCTTCCTGCCGGCTCTCGCAGCCGTCATCGTCGGGGCCTGGAGGGCGGGCGCATGCCACAATGACAAACAAAATTAATTTAAACAACAGCAACTACTACATTAACCTCTTCAACCACACCTGTTACAGCAAGAACAACAACATGGAAAACAACAAAATTAACCACCACATTAAGGCCGTCAACAACAACTGTTAAAGGGAGCACATCACCTACAAAGAAAACTACTCCAACAAGGACAGTGGAAACTCCTTCAACGCCGAAAACGACAAAATTAACCACCCCAATAACACCCTCAACACCAAAAACAACAAAACTAACCACCCCATTAACCCCCTCAACACCAAAAACAACAAAACTAACCACCCCATTAACCCCCTCAACACCGAAAACAACAAAGATAACTACCCCGTTAACCCCCTCAACGGCAAAAACAACAAAACTGACCACTCCATTAACCCCCTCAACGCCGAAAACAACAAGGATAACCACCCCATTAACCCTCTCAACGCCAACAACAAAACTAACCACCCCATTAACCCCCTCAACACCGAAAACAACAAAGATAACTACCCCGTTAACCCCCTCAACAGCAAAAACAACAAAACTGACCACTCCATTAACCCCCTCAACACCGAAAACAACAAGGATAACTACCCAATTACGCACCTCAACCCCGAAAACAACCAAAATAACCACTCCATTAACCCCTTCAACCCCAAAAACAAACATAACCACCCCATTAACCCCCTCAACACCAAAAACAACAAAGATAACCACTCCATTAACCCCCTCAACACCAAAAATAACAAAGCTAACCACCCTATTAACCCCCTCATCACCAAAAACTACAAAAACAACGACCCCATTAACCCCTTCAACGCCAAAAACGACAAAAATAACCACTCCATTAACCCCATTAACACCAAAAACTACAAAGTTAACCACGCAATTAACCCCCTCAACACCAAAAACAACCAAAATAACCACTCCATTAACCCCCTCAACACCGAAAACAAAACTCACCACCCCGTTAACCCCCTCAACACCCAAAACAACCAAAATAACCACTCCATTAACCCCCTCAACGCCAAAAACAACAAAGCTAACCACCCCTTTAACCCCCTCAACCCCAAAAACAACAAAGATAACTACCCCATTAACCCCCTCAACACCAAAAGCAACAAAACTAACCACCCCATTAACCCCCTCATCACCAAAAACTACAAAGATAACTACCCCATTAACCCCCTCAACACCAAAACCAACAAAACCCACCACCCCATTAACTCCCTCAACACCAAAAACAACAAAACTCACCACCCCGTTAACCCCCTCAACACCAAAAACAACCAAAATAACCACCCCATTAACCCCCTCAACACCAAAAATAACCAAAATAACCACTCCATTAACCCCTTCAACCCCAAAAACAAACATAACCACCCCATTAACCCCCTCAACACCAAAAACAACAAAGATGACTACCCCATTAACCCCCTCAACACCAAAAACAACAAAACTCACCACCCCATTAACCCCCTCAACACCAAAAACAACCAAAATAAGCACTCCATTAACCCCCTCAACGCCAAAAACAAAACTAACCACCCCATTAACCCCCTCAACGCCAAGAACAAAACTAACCAGCCCATTAACCCCCTCAACGCCAAAAACAACAAAAATAACCACTCCATTAATCCCCTCAACCCCGAAAACAACAAAACTAACCACTCCGTTAACCCCCTCAACGCCGAAAACAACAAAGATAACTACCCCATTAACCCCCTCAACACCAAAAACAACAAAGATAACCACTCCATTTACCCCCTCAACACCGAAAACAACCAAATAACCACCCCGTTAACCCCCTCAACGCCAAAAACAACAAAGATGACCACCCCTTTAACCCCCTCAACACCAAAAACAACAAAGATAACTACCCCTTTAACCCCCTCAACGCCCAAAACGACAAAGTTAACTACCCCTTTAACCCCCTCAACGCCAAAAACAACAAAACTCACCACTCCATTAAGCCCCTCAACACCAAAAACAACAAAACTCACCACCCCATTAACCCCCTCAACGCCAAAAACAACAAAAATAACCACTCCCATTAACCCCCTCAACACCAAAAACAACCAAAATAACCACTCCATTAACCCCCTCAACACCAAAAAACCAACCAAAATAACCACTCCATTAACCCCCTCAACACCAAAAACAACAAAGATGACTACCCCATTAACCCCCTCAACGCCAAAAACAACCAAAATAACCACTCCATTAACCCCCTCAACACCGAAAACAACCAAAATAACCACTCCATTAACCCCCTCAACGCCAAAAACAACAAAAATAACCACTCCATTAATCCCCTCAACCCCGAAAACAACAAAACTAACCACTCCATTAACCCCCTCAACCACGAAAACAACAAAGATAACTACCCCATTAACCCCCTCAACACCAAAAACAACAAAGATAACTACCCCATTAACCCCCTCAACACCAAAAACAACAAAACTCACCACCCCATTAACCCCATCAACGCCAAAAACAACAAAAATAACCACTCCATTAACCCCCTCAACACCAAAAACAACCAAAATAACCACTCCATTAACCCCCTCAACACCAAAAATAACCAAAATAACCACTCTATTAACCCCCTCAACACCAAAAACAACAAAGATAACTACCCCATTAACCCCCTCAACGCCAAAAACAACAAAGATAACTACCCCTTTAACCCCCTCAACACCAAAAACAACAAAAATAACCACCCTGTTAACCCCCTCAACGCCAAAAACAACAAAACTCACCACTCCATTAAGCCCCTCAACACCAAAAACAACAAAACTCACCACCCCATTAACCCCCTCAACGCCAAAAACAACAAAAATAACCACTCCATTAACCCCCTCAACACCAAAAACAACCAAAATAACCACTCCATTAACCCCCTCAACACCAAAAATAACCAAAATAACCACTCCATTAACCCCTTCAACCCCAAAAACAAACATAACCACTCCATTAACCCCCTCAACACCAAAAACAACAAAGATGACTACCCCATTAACCCCCTCAACGCCAAAAACAACCAAAATAACCACTCCATTAACCCCCTCAACACCGAAAACAACCAAAATAACCACTCCATTAACCCCCTCAACGCCGAAAACAACAAAAATAACCACTCCATTAATCCCCTCAACCCCGAAAACAACAAAACTAACCACTCCATTAATCCCCTCAACCCCGAAAACAACCAAAATAACCACTCCATTAACCCCCTCAACACCAAAAATAACCAAAATAACCACTCTATTAACCCCTTCAACCCCAAAAACAAACATAACCACCCCATTAACCCCCTCAACACCAAAAACAACAAAGATAACTACCCCATTAACCCCCTCAACGCCAAAAACAACAAAAACAACGACCACATCAACCCCTTCCACGCCGAAAACGACAAAAATAACCACTCCATTAACCCCCTCAACACCAAAAACAACCAAAATAACCACTCCATTAACCCCCTCAACACCAAAAACAACCAAAATAACCACTCCATTAACCCCCTCAACACCGAAAACAACCAAAATAACCACTCCATTAACCCCCTCAACGCCAAAAACAACAAAACTAACCACCCCATTAACCCCCTCAACGCCAAAAACAACAAAAATAACCACTCCATTAATCCCCTCAACACCAAAAACAACCAACATAACCACTCCATTAACCCCCTCAACCACGAAAACAACAAAGTTAACCACCCCTTTAACCCCCTCAACACCAAAAACAACAAAGATAACTACCCCTTTAACCCCCTCAACGCCCAAAATGACAAAGTTAACTACCCCATTAACCCCCTCAACACCAAAAACAACAAAAATAACCACCCGCATTAACCCCCTCAACGCCAAAAACAACAAAACTCACCACTCCATTAACCCCCTCAACACCAAAAACAACAAAACTCACCACCCCATTAACCCCCTCAACGCCAAAAACAACAAAGATAACCACTCCATTAACCCCCTCAACGCCAAAAACAACAAAAATAACCACTCCATTTACCCCCTCAACACCAAAAACAACCAAACTAACCACTCCATTAACCCCCTCAACACCAAAAACAACAAAGATAACCACTCCATTTACCCCCTCAACACCGAAAACAACCAAAATAACCACCCCATTAACCCCCTCAACGCCGAAAACAACAAAGATGACCACCCCTTTAACCCCCTCAACACCAAAAACAACAAAGATTACTACCCCTTTAACCCCCTCAACGCCAAAAACGACAAAGTTAACTACCCCATTAACCCCCTCAACACCAAAAACAACAAAAATAACCACCCCATTAACCCCCTCAACACCAAAAACAACAAAACTCACCACTCCATTAACCCCCTCAACACCAAAAACAACAAAACTCACCACCCCATTAACCCCCTCAACACCAAAAACAACAAAACTCACCACCCCATTAACCCCCTCAACGCCAAAAACAACAAAGATAACCACTCCATTAACCCCCTCAACACCAAAAACGACCAAAATAACCACTCCATTTACCCCCTCAACGCTGAAAACAACAAAGATAACCACCCCTTTAACCCCCTCAACACCAAAAACAACAAAGATAACTACCCCTTTAACCCCCTCAACCACGAAAACAACAAAGATAACTACCCCATTAACCCCCTCAACACCAAAAACAACAAAACTAACCACCCCATTAACCCCCTCAACACCAAAAACAACAAAACTCACCACCCCATTAACCCCATCAACGCCAAAAACAACAAAAATAACCACTCCATTTACCCCCTCAACACCAAAAACAACAAAAATAACCACTCCATTAACCCCCTCAACACCAAAAATAACCAAAATAACCACTCTATTAACCCCTTCAACCCCAAAAACAAACATAACCACCCCATTAACCCCCTCAACACCAAAAACAACAAAGATGACTACCCCATTAACCCCCTCAACGCCAAAAACAACAAAAATAACCACTCCATTAACCCCCTCAACACCAAAAACAACCAAAATAACCACTCCATTAACCCCCTCAACACCGAAAACAACCAAAATAACCACTCCATTAACCCCCTCAACGCCAAAAACAACAAAACTAACCACCCCATTAACCCCCTCAACGCCAAAAACAACAAAAATAACCACTCCATTAACCCCCTCAACAACCAAAACCACAAAGATCACCACCCCATTAACCCCCTCAACGCCAAAAACAACAAAAATAACCACTCCATTAATCCCCTCAACCACAAAAACAACAAAGATAACTACCCCATTAACCCCCTCAACACCAAAAACAACAAAACTCACCACCCCATTAACCCCATCAACGCTGAAAACGACAATAACCACTGCATTAACCCCCTCAACGCCAAAAACAAAACTAACCAGCCCATTAACCCCCTCAACGCCGAAAACAACAAAAACAACCACTCCATCAACCCCCTCAACACCCAAAACCACAAAGATCACCACCCCATTAACCCCCTCAACACCCAAAACCACAAAGATGACTACCCCATTAACCCCCTCAACACCCAAA